GTTAATCATTTATGTTTCCTCTACGTCCCTCACCTGGTTTCTACAGCAGAACGAAATATTTGAAGCCCAGCGAGTTGAACAATAGAGTTGTGTATTCACAAGAGGAAGCTGTCAATCAATAAGGATGGGCACCAGTCCCCAGCATATACAGTACTACGGTGTGACACCAGAAGAAGCCAGATGTTTGCCATCGAGCAACCAAAAAAAAAAAAAACCCACTGAAGTTACGGATTCTTCCACTGCCTCACTTCTCAATTTTTTTTTTTATATTTTACGAGTCCTTCTGCAAAACTCACCGTGAGACGTTTACGACAATCTAGAAAAATTACCATTTTTGGGGGTCTGGTAAAAAAAAAAAATTTTTTTTAAGATGAAGGGAGCTTCTAGATCTACCAGGGCTTAAAACTGATGAACAGTTGGCAACAGTTCTTTTGGACAGGAAAAAACTAATTCTGTTATTGTATTTTAGAGAATTGAAAGTGAAATTTGTTTAAACAAAAAAAAAACCGTATAGATAATTGTTGTATGCTGTGTTTACCATAGACTAACATGATGCTAGCTTGAATGCTAGCTTGACCTGCATTGAATTGATTTCAGTCAGTAAACTTCAAGCTAACTGTGGAAGAGGAGGGAGGGGAACGAAAAGGAAATTGTCTTATGTGTATTGGAGCTAAGTGATTAGCACAGTGTTCAACCTTGTGCTGTTGTTTTAGCTTTCTCTGTTGACTCTGCTCCCTGTTTGATCGAGGCACAGCTTTCATCTCTGTCCAGAAGGGGAGGAGGAGCAGGAGCTGTTACCGTTCACATTTCAAAATTTCCTCCTCTCCTTGATAACATTATGCTACAGATCCTACGAATTTGTCACCTAGCTTAATCATATTTTAATGTGAACTACGCAAGCCTCAGAAAATCGGGTGGATGATAACAAAAAAATATCAGGAAGAGTGAAAGGGATACTGTGAAACTTTATCCTATTTTTCTTGAGCCAGGATGTGCTAAAATGACTTTTTACTAGGTTCATGAAATGTCACTCAGACCCCTACCGCCCTCTGTGGCCAGAATATCGCATTTGCAACTTCAGAGTGACGGCCCACTCCTATTTGGACTTAGTAAAGTGGAGCAGACATTCCTGGTGCTGTAATATGTGTCCAAGACATTTCCTGCCTGTTTTAGACCGTAAACACAGCTGATTTGTTTGATTTAGTGATTAACTGCTCCTGTACAAGCTAATGAAGGCTGAGGAGACATTTCAGCTGTTAGATTAAGGGGTAAAAAGACAAATGCACAGCGAGGAGGGACGTTTCACTTTTCGTTTCACTAAAGGACACTAGGAGGTGTGAAAAGCAAGCCTAAATTGCATAATATCCCTTTAAGCTCCAAATAATCTTGTTTTCTTAAGGATGTGCAAATGTTTTGTGCATTTTACAGCAAAGTTGTTGTAACCTGACAGAAGCAATAAAAGGATGAGAGGTTAAAGTTATTCAAGCCACATCAGAGACACAGTCGAAGCCCAACTAGCCGCTCATGCTTCCTGAGTTGAGTGAAATACTTTTGTTCGAGCGTGCCTCCAAGGATTCGGCTTTCATCACAACAATAACGGTGATGATGAGTTCTGTCAAATAAAACCTGCAAACACACTATAATTCTGTCTGAGCAGGAGCAGAGCCATTTCCTGACTGTCTGGCTATTGTCTCTGTCTCTCTTCGGCACAGACGATAACTAGGAAAATGGACGGAATGACTCATGTGGAAAATGGCTCCTTACTCGCATAATCAAATGGCTAATTCCAGGAGCGCCTAGGCGGGGAGGAGTTTCTGTTAAGGTGCAAGGGAATTCTGATGCTTGTTGGATTAGCTGCTGGATGTACCTGATTCTGTGATTAAATATGTGTTCAGTGGGATCACAACACTTGGAAAACCAGCGGACTTCACAGGATTTAGTGTAAACTTCCCCAAAAAATGAAGAAATCCCAGTGAAAGCCTCAGAGCTTTAATTCGTGAGATAATCCAGTATTTTTTATCCAACTTCACAAGCATCTACATTTATGAACCACAAAAGGTTTCAGCTTCTGTCATGTTCATTATTTTGTGTCCCAAGTAGAAACTTATGTCATGATCACCGTGGCTGAATAGGTTTAACTAAAGCCAGTATCTGTCCAGGCTCTGGATAGTTAGAGGCTGAAAACTGGAAGAAAATGTGTCAATTTTCCATTTTCCGGTGACTCCTTCATTCTGCTGGGGGACTTTAATGCTCACGTGGGCAACGACAGTGAGAAGTGGAAAGGTGTGGCTGGGAGGAACGCCCCCCCGATCTGAATTCGAGTGATGTTTTGTTATTGAACTTCTGTGCCAGTCATGGATTGTCCATAATGAACACCATGTTCAGATATAAAGGTGTCCATATGTGCTCTTTGCACCAGGATACCTTAGGCCGCAGCTCAATATTGACTTTGCTGTTGTTTCATCTGACCTGCGGCCGCATGTCTTGGACACTCGGGTGAAGAGAGGGGCGGAGCTGTCAACTGACCACTACCTGGTGGTGAGTTGGCTCAGATGGTGGTGGAGGATGCCAGTCAGACCAGGCAGGCCCAAACGTATCGCGAGAGTCTGCTGGGAACGTCTGGCAGAGTCTCCTGTCAGAAGGAGCTTCAATTCCCACCTCCGACAGAAAATGTTCCGGGGGAGGCGGGGGACATTGAATCTGAATGGACCCTTTTCTGTGCCTCCATTGTTGAGGCCGCCGACTGGAGCTGTGGTCGCAGGATCGTCGGTGCCTGTCGTGGTGGCAATCCCCAAAGGGAGGGGGAAGCAGTGCGCCACCAACACTATCTATAGTCGGGACGGTGTGCAGCTGACCTCTACTCAGGACGTTGTGGATTTGTGGGCAGAATACTTCGAAGACCTCCTCAATCCCACCAACACATCTTCCAGTGAGGAAGCAGAATCTGGGGACTTTGGGTTGGCCTCTCAAATCTCTGGTGCCGAGGTCACTGAGGTGGTTAAAAAGCTCCTCTGTGGCAAGGCTCCAGGGGTGGATGGGATCTGGCCAGAGTTCTTTAAGGCTCTGGATGTTATGGGGCTGTGTTGGCTGACGCGGCTCTTCAATATCGCGTGGACATCGGGGTTAGTCCCACTGGACAGGCAGACCGGGGTGGTGTTCCCTTTATTTAAAGAGGGGGACCGCAGGGTGTGTTGCAACTACAGGGGAACACACTCCTGAGCCTTCCTGGTAAGGTCTATTCAGGGGTTCTGGAGAGGAGGGTCCGTCGGATTGTTGAACCTCAGATTCAGGAGGAGCAATGTGGTTTTCATCCTGGCCTTGGAACACTGGACCAGCTCTATACCCTTAGGGGGATCCTGGAGGGTGCGTAGAAATTTGCCCAACCATTCTACATGTGTTTTGTGGATTTGGACAAGGCATTTGACCGCGTCCCTCGGGGGGCCCTGTGGGGGGTTCTCCGGGAGTATGGGGTACCAAGCTCTCTGACACGGGCTGTTAGGTTCCTGTATGACCAGTGTCAGAGCTTGGTCCGCATTGCCGGCAGTAAGTCGGGCTTGTTCCCAGTGAGAGTTGGACTCTCACTGGCTGTCCTTTGTCACCGATTCTGTTCATAACCTTTATGGACAGGATTTCCAGGCACAGCCAAGGTGTGGAGGGCATCCGTTTTGGTGGCCTGAGGATCAGGTCTCTGCTTTTTGCAGTTGATGTGGTCCTGTTGGCTTCATCGGAACATGATCTTCAGCTTTCGCTGGAGCGGTTCGCAGCCGAGTGTGAAGCAGCTGGGATGAGAATCAGCTCCTCTAAATCTGTGACCGTGGTCTTGATTCGGAAAAGGGTAGAATGCCTTCTCCGGGTCAGAGATGAGGTCCTGCCCCAAGTGGAGGAGTTTAAGTATCTCGGGGTTTTGTTCACGAGTGAGGGAAAACTGGAGCGTGAGATTGATAGGCGAATTGGTGCTGCATCTGCAGTGATGTGGGCGTTGTACCGGTCTGTCGTGGTGAAGAGAGAGCAGAGTCAGAAGGCGAAGCTCTCGATTTACCGGTCGATCTACGTTTCTACCCTCACCTATGGTCATGAGCTTTGGGTAGTGACCAAAAGAACGAGATCGCGGATACAAGCGGCCGAAATGAGTTTTCTCCAAAGAGTGGCTGGGCTCTCCCTTAGAGATAGGGTGAGAAGCTCGGTCATTCGGGAGGGGCTCAGAGTAGACCCGTTGCTCCTCCACATCGAGAGGAGCCAGTTGGGGTGGCTCGGGCATCTGGTCAGGTTGCCTCCTGGACGCCTCTCTGGTGAGGTTTTCCGCGCATGTCCAACCGGGAGGAGACCTAAAGGTAGACCCAGGACATGGTGGAGGGACTATGTCCCTCACCTGGCCAGGGAACACCTTGGGATTCCTCCAGAGGAGCTGGCCCAAGTGGCTGGGGAGAGGGAAGTCTGGGCCTCTCGCCTAAGGCTACTGCCCCCACGACCCAACTCCGGATAAGCGGATGAAAATGGATGGATGGATGCAAATAAAATTCCACTTTAATTCAAATGTGCTCTTTTTCTGGTTGCAATTTGTGTAATGCCTTCATGTTTTTACAAATTTTCCTCTTTCTATTTAATGTAGTCACATTAAGAATGTGTGTTTTCTTTTTTAGGTGTTAAATCAGTGAGATCTTAAGTTCTAATGCTGCCAACTTCCAAAAGGTGTCTCACTTTTTTTTACTGTTGTGCTTACTGTGTTTGACAGAGCTTTAGTCTCCGGTGGCACAAAAGCACGGCTTTGCAAAATACGAGAGGAATTTGAGAACACTAGAAAAGGTTTAGAGATATTTTATAAACTATTTAGCAAATTTTCTTAGCAGTTTGTCAGCAGCAGTCGCAGCCTAGAGAGATATTGGCGTGAAATAACGAGTCAATGATGATGAACATTTCAGTCATCTTCAAAAAAACTGTAAAAATGGGTCAAATTTCACTGAAACTTAACCTAACTGACCAAAAAAGTTGTTAAAAAGAGGTGAAAATCAAACACATGCAGTTTTTAATTACTAAACCAAATCATTGATCAGATTAAGAAAATAAATTCGATGAACAAGCAGAACATGTGTCTTGTTGGATGTTGCAAGGAAAAAAATTGTTGTAGATCTCAACAGGGTTGAAAGGGAAAAAAATTCTTCACAATGTTCTCAAAGCATCATCAAAATTACTTTAAAACACGAGGAGCAGTTAGCCCTCTTTTTCCTTCAGTTACTTTAGAAAAATCACATCATGTCCTCAAAAATGAGCAAAGAACAAGTCAGACAAAACAGAACACTAATAATAAGTCCCTGACACAGCTTGTGGAAGCTTCCAGGACTTGGATGAAGATAATTAATGACTGGGAGTGAATAAACGAAAGGCACGAAACACAAATGAATCCACAGAATTACAGACGATAACTGAAGTTAACTGTTTGTAGAAAAAAAAGAGCCCCCTGATTGTTTTTTGAGGAGGTAACCAAGTCTCTGCAGGACACCCCTTTCCGGTGTTCCTGCATGTTTTTATGGCTCTTTCCAACCATGTGCACACATCCCATGCTCACATTGTGGGAAATGGTTGCATCATCAGTACTGATGGTAGTAGTCGGGTCCATCCACGCCGTACAGCTCAGCCAGGGCCTTGAACCTCGGGCCCCAATCATTGAGGAAGTCGTAATCCAGGTTGGAACCAGACGAAGATGTTTCCAGAGAGCTGAGACTTCCGGCTAAAGACTCTGGTCCCTCATAGCCGTAGATGTGGAGAGTGTCATACGGGAACCCATCTCTGTCGTGATCAGCTTCGTCCTTCTTCATCTCGATCATTGCCGCCATGTCGCCTTTGCATGCAGTGGGCTGAGTGTGGTGGTGGGGTTTTTGGACCATGGCATAAGGATGTGTGAGACAATCAGGATGGCGGAGCAGCGAGCCGTCGTTGCAAGCGGAAGTGAGGATCGAGACGTCGTAGCTGAAAGAGAGATAAAGCCCCTAATTTACTGTGCTGAGAGCTGATTAACTTTTCAGCATGCAGAGAAATCACTAGACCATGAAAGGAGTGTTTTATTCAAAGTCTAGAATTTGTTTCCAGGGTAACAGACGTTTAGCACAACAATCATATCTCTGCTCCTGATTTTGTTGTGGTTGCTCCAAAGACTTGATCTTTTCAAAGAAGAATGTTATGCAAAATACCCTGAAATCTGCAAATGTTTTAAAAGAGAAGCATCAATATAAAATGTAAATGTTTCATTTAGGCTGAAACATTTTTATCACTCACTATAACTTTGTTTTCACCATTGGCATTGTGGTTTTTCAATGGTGTGTGTGTGTGTGTGGCATAAGAGTACTTGTCAGCAGCTTTATCTACTCTTTAGGATTAGAAATGATGGAAATGAGGCAGAAAATAAAATTAAAGCATTCTTTGCCTTCAGCAAATTTCACAATTTCCATATAGAGATTATTACAGTTCAGCTGAATCGTTGCTTCTTAAAATATTTTAATATTTTTTGAAAAAATTCACAAAAAATGTGCGCATGGATGCCTTTCAAAGTTTTAGCCATGAAAATATTTAGTCCTCAGAAGTGCTTTAAATACTTTAAAATGTTGCTCTCACTGATGCTCTACTCAACACTTGCCTGATTTTGCACATTTTTTTGCAGCAGACTTGCTGATAAAAAGCTGCAAGAACTGTGAAGAGTTTAATAACAAGTGAATTATTGTGGAGGACCACAGAGCAGGGCAACAGCACATCACCACAGATCAGTTTGTCCCTTTTATTCCTGAAATTAGATGCCCTAATGTCACATATTTAGTTTACCCTAATGTCACATATTTAGTTTAATACAATGTACATTGTTGTTGTAGTCGTCACAGATCTGTGATCAGTTTTAAACGCCGCTACAAAAAAGGAGTTGACACAGGATTCCCTAGTTTTTGTGAAAATGTTCCACTCAGATGGTCCTGCGAGGTCACAAAATCACTGGAGAATTTTTAGATTGTGCATGATTTTGGAAGTTCAGGTAATAACAAGTAACTAGTAAGGCGACGGCACATATTCAAAAAGTCTCCAGTGTCTTTTCTGTTCTGTTTACCTCAGCCACGAGGGCGTCAAAGTTTCCAGGTGTTTTACACTGGTCACATGTCTGACTTCCTGTCTGGCCCGATCTGAACTGCTGAGGTTGACGTGTTCTGGAAATGTAGCGTGTGACAAAACCGTCCCAAAGCAGAAATTTAGTGGAGCTAAGCAGCACCATGCTTCTAAGACTCAGCTTCACGGGCGATGTAAGCACATCTACTGGTTATAACGGCAGCTGCTTCGCGGATGGCCAGGGTTAAACTCATGAAATCTAAAACGGTGACAGTGAACACAGCTCTGTGCCGTCTTCTGACTCACTTTACGTGAACGATGAACAAAAAGTCAATGGAGTCATGTAGTGCCACTGATCATGTAACTTAATAGTCATGTTTAAGTCAAATATTCTGCCTTTAAGTGACCGTGTGCATTTTCCCTGGCAATAGAGGGCAGGACATACCTAAATCATTGCAAGCAAGCAGTATTTTTGTGTTCGAGTAAGACCTTACCAACGGATGGTAATAAGGGTCAAAAATCCCTGGAAATGCTATTTTCAAACAAGTACGTGGTCAGATTTAAACCTCCATCAGAATGACAAACACATCAGACTCCCATTCATCACTGGCAAGAAGTGAAGAGGTAAAGGTGTAAAACAACAATGTTTATTAATGGTGAAAGTTTTGTAACTGCTTGTTTCAAATCGGTAAGTGTGTTTTGCCCTCACAGGCTCCTGTAGAAGTAAACATTGCGTCTAATGTGGCATCTCCCTGAGACTTAGATTTTAGACCTGAGTTTTATGGTTAAATATTTTTCAACAACTGGGCCTCATTTCAGTTTTCAACAACTTTCGATGGATATTTCCAGACATTAATGGTAAAAACTACACATTGTAACATTAAAAAAGCTAAGTGAACATGACGCCTACTCAGATCAACAAGACGATCTAGCTCGTGATGCTCCATGCTCTGGCACATAAATCTACTGACAGATTAGTGTTGCCATATTGAAACCATAAAAAATACTGTGATCAGGACATCCCAATGATATTTTCAATTTATACACATTTTGAAGCTAACAAGCTCTTTTTACTTAAGAGTTAATCTTTGAAAGAAACCTACAGCTTGTGTGATATTTTATTAGTTGATGGTGCAGATTGTCGATATTAAAAAAGGGGAAATTGCTAACAAGAAGTGCACCGATGAGCTCACAGATAATCTTGCTATAGTAGTTAGAATAAAGGAAATAATCTTTATTATGCTGCACCACGCTCAGATTAGAGTGGCCGATTTGTTTCAAAGGTGGAGAAAATGTCTGTGTGAGATAAAGGAGGGAAAGGGTACCTGTGATGGAAAGGCTTGGCTATATTTAGGTGTTTTAAAAGTGTCTCGCCTTATTTCTTCTGATTTACATACCCATTAGTGTCCATCTCTCCTCCACCCTCCTCGTCATACGTGACAAGCTGCTCGTGAATCTCGCCGCTGTTCTTCATGCTGGCAAGAGAATCCTTCTGGTAGCGTTTCCTCATCACGAACAGGATCACTATCACTAACCAGAAAACAGCAGATATTGGATAAAGAAACATGCAAAAGGGGCAATAAGCTATTAGCTGTGACAAAGCTGTAAATTACAGCAGAATAAACTTTATCTGAATTCACCATCAAGTAATTTGGAGCTAATATGAAGGCTCAAAAATCTGGTATGTGTTCATTTAAATAAAAAGGTCATGCATGATGAAATATGAAGAGGAACAAACTCATAAAATTGGTCCTAAAATAAAATTTTTAAATGAAGAAGGGGTAAAAACAAAACAGAATTAAAAGTGGGCCACGAAACAAATAGAACACAAACACAAAAATTGGACAAGAATGGTGTTTGGATGGCAGGGGGTGACTGCACAGTGATAAAAACCTAAAGGAACAAACTCAGCCCGACTGGAGCAGAATCCATTCACAAAGAGAGAAAAGAGCAAGGAGCACAAGAAACGGGAAGACAGACTTGGTAAACACAACGAGGGAAGAGGAAAGATGTTCAAGAAAACAAGGTTGAGGAGAATGAGTTGGACCAAACAGATGATGAGGAAATAAACAACTAAGAAGAGAGAAATAGAGGTCAGGAGAGGTGACGCAAGGAAAAGGAAGTAAAAGATCATAAGAAACAATGGAAATGTTTCATATAATGACTGAAAATTAGTTTAAAGGTTTTTCAAGACTCAAGCAGTGTGTTTAACAAAAGATAAATGCATGTTTTATTATAATTATAATAAAATGAGGACATGTTCCAAGTATAAAAGCAGTCTATCAGTGTTGGCTTCTAATTCACAAAAGAGTTCCTAAAATGTCTCAAACAATTGCAAAGTTTCCCTAATTCCTTCCAGGACTCCGGCCTCATATTGTGGGAATTCCAAGCATGTGTTGAAAACTATGCAATTAATTTTATCTTAAATTAATTAAAGAGTTGTGGGCATCTTGGGAAAAAAATAACTAGTTTTGGTGTATCAGAAAACAAGAAATGTGAGACAACTCTGGTAGGGCCAGCTTGGGTAGAGTTGTCTAACATTCTGAAAAATCAGCTAAATACAAATGAGGATAAAAAGACAAGTTGAGATTCTTAGTGAAAAGAATTGTTGCAATTTGTTTGCAGTCGTGACTAAAGTAACCATCCATCTTCTGAACCCGCTTTGTCCACGCAGGGTCGCGTTGGGGGGGGGGGTTTCCAGTCAACGCGCAAGTAGGCGGGGTACACCCTGGACAGAGAGCCAGTCCATCGCAGAGCAACACAGAGACACACAGGACAAACAACCGCACACGCACGCACGCACGCACACACACACACACACACTCACACTCACACACACACACACACACACACACACACACACACACACACACACACACACACACACACACACACACACACACACACACACACACAATTTAGACAGACCAATTAACCTAACAATCATGTTTTTGGACAGCAGGAGGAAGCCGGAGTACCCGGAGAGATCCCACGCATGCACAGGGAGAACATGTAAACAGAAAGATCCCAGGCCGGGAATCAAACACAGGACCTTCTCGCTGCAAGGCAACAGCTCTAACCACTGTGCCACTGCACAGATACTAAATTAACCAGTCCTTTTAAAATAGTAGATTGAAATATTTCACACACATAAGCACCTAGTCCGATATTCCACAAAATTGAGATCTTTTCTACGATCTGGCCTGTCATTCACACGAAAGTGAAGTTAAACGGCACCAACAACAGTCCTTTCAAAACCTCCCACCAATGTGGACATTTCCAAATTCTCTGTTGTCAGCATTTGCTTGGAGATGAAAATAACCAGTGTTTTAGGATTCATGTCACCGCCCACAACAAAAATGCTGCAACATGCGTTTACACTCAGTTGTTTTTACAAGCTCAGTAACTGCTGTAGAAGATCAAAGGCGAAGGATGACATTGAAGCTACAATCCTGAGTTTTCCCACTTTCAGGAATTATGTAAGATTTTTTAAAAATTCATAAAAGTGATAGCCTTACCATGTATTGTTTTGTAAAAGGCAATACGTCTTTTTTATTTATTTATTTTTGCTGAGCCCGTGCTGTTTGAACTGGTCAACATTAGCCAACAGCATTCGACATCCGCTTATGTGCAGATCTCAATCACAGCGAGTGTGCAAGCATTTGAGGGCGTATCTAGATTGATACAGAGTTGGGGACATTTGTCTTAAAACAATGTGTTTTAGGTCTACTGGCCGGCTGGAGGTATGTGCTCACGAACGAGAGGCATTGCCTTCTGCCGTAAAAACTGAAGTAGGGAGATGGGCATAAGGTGCGATATATTTGTCAGCCTCTAGATGGTGCCGCTAGATTAAAAAAACTCAACATTTCTGCGTTAGAGGCGTTTATTTCCCACCACCTAATAATTCCAAGGAACGATTGTTGGCAAAGATGCAGACGATTTGGGGAATAACTGCCACATACAGACTTGGCATGGCTATGAATGAGCTTTTCTGGATTTTTCCACAGAAAACAAAGTGGTGTAGACACTAGTTTTTTTCCTAGATGGGTGAGAGAGGACATTCGGTTTAACAAATACCCAGTCACTTGTGTACGTAACCTTAGTGTCTTCAGCTGGTCTACTAAGGTCCCACCCCAGTGAGACACTGGTCTAAATAAAAAAACAACAACTTTATTTCCTCTTTATGATTCTATTAAACTGAGTTCAACAAGTTCAGCTTGATAAGAAAATTGTTTTAGGAGAAACTCGGTGAAGTTTCTCTTGCTCACAACCTGAATTTCACTGTGACCATAAAAGGAGAGATAAGGAAGCGGGAGGAAGAAGGGGAGCAAAACAAAAGGAGGGACAAATGAGGCAAACAGCTGCTAACTAAGAAAAGGAGGAAGGAGGCTAATGACAAACTTTACAAGGAAATCAAGAGCAAGGACAGATGAGGAGGAAAGGAGGAAAGGAAGGCTACATTTGACATTAGATTAGGCCCCAGGCGTTGGTCCCGATATGAACCTCTTCTCTCTCGGCAGACGGGCAGCATAAGCCTTGCCTGTTAGATGAGTGCGAGCGGGACTAATTTAGGTTTGCATGGGAAACCAACAGATTAATCTTTTACAACACATGCTCTGCAGTTTAATAAGCTTTGGAGATATCAGACGTATTGGGACAAGAAACAGAGAGGGTTTAAAAAAAAGGCCAAAAGAAGTCTTTGTTGGAGATGACTGAGAAAAATTTCTCTGTGTCAAACCTGACTTCCTGTGAGAAAATGTGCCTGTGAATGGTAAATTGCTTTGGGCCCCGACGGATAATGACAAGTGCATTAAATAGTTAATCTAGCATGCTTTGGGGGTGTTTGATAAAGAGAAAGAGAGACAGAAAAAGGAAGAGGGGTCGGAAAAAAGAGAGACAGAGACCCTGAGGGAAAGAGGAAAAGAGATGGAGAAAAAAATGAAAGGAAAAAGGCACGATAGTGAAGGAGTGTATTAATAGTTAATAGGTTGAGTGTTTGGTGGTGTTTGATAAGCAGGCGGCACCTAAAGAGCTGATAAACCCGCCTCATTACCACTTCTATTCTTCCACTGCTTTTCCCACAATTCTCCTCTTCAGCTTCTTTCAAACCTTTTTTCGTGTCTGTCACTCAGCCGGTCTGACTGCACCTCAAATCTCTGCCTCAGTTGCCTGCAATCTGTCTTCCTCTCTCTCTAGATAGGCGCCGTTCATTTTCTCACATGCTGCTTCGTCTCCGTCCCTCTCCAACGTCCTCGTCTTGTTTCCTTCAATCTTCGGCACTTCTACACCCCAGATCCCTCATGTTTAACCAACTATCTCTAGTGTGTACCACATCCAGCCTGACAACTGTCTCTATTTATTTATTTTTTTACCAGAAAATAAAAAATTGAGAGTAGGGGTGAAGGTATCAAAGAGAATATTGAGTTCACAACCACAGGCATTATTTCCACATCCGCTGCTGCATTATTCATAAAACCAACAACACCAGGAGGGGAGAGGTTCCCCCCACAAAACACAAATCCCATTTATTGCACAGCAAGGGCAAGTGAATCACACGTTCCAATCAGTCAGCAAAGCATCTATCAGAGATGCTACTTTCACGATTCTCTCAGAGAAACGACAACAGGTTTGAAGCTTTCCTCTGAAGCGATTTCTAAACATAAAATAACTGTAAAATACAAATAACTGCTGCATTAATGTGTGTTTAGTGGATTCAGGCTGCAAACGTGGGATAAATCCACCAAACGTATGCATATAAATTACAAGTTACAGTGATAGAAAGTTGGAAAGTGCACATTTGAATTAAACTTCTGCTTTTGCAATGCTGCAAACAAGTATTTGCTTTCTTGCAGATATGTTCTCTTTGCTTTTAGTGACACTTAACCTTAAAGCTGAGCAAGAAAGTGCAGGTTTTTAGCGATGTCATTAATGAGAGGAACAGAGACATCTGAGGCGATCTGATCCTTTGTGACACTGTTAGGCCCGGGCCACACTGTGCCTTTTTCAGCTGTCCAAAAGAACTGCTTCATGTCACACTGTGAGGACTCTAGAGAGGTGGCACACTGTAGAGCCTAAAACTTCAGTGAGCCAAACTGCACCACGTCTCGCTCAAGCAAGACACGCTATGTCACGAGCATACTCGCCAAAAAGAATCCATCCATACATTTTCAGCCGCTTATCCAGAGTCAGGTCACGGGGGGCAGCAGCCTAAGCAGAGAGGCCCAGACCTCCTTCTCTCCAGCCACTTGGGCCAGCTTCTCCAGGGGAAATCCCAAGGCATTCCCTGGCCAGCTTAGAGACATAGTCCCTCCAGCATATCCTGGGGTTTCCCTTGGGTCGCCTCCCAGTTGGACGTCAAGGAGGGATCCTGACCAGTTGCCTGAGCCTCCTCAACTGGCTCCTCTTGATATGGAGGAGCTGCGGGTCTACTTTGAGCACCTCCTGGATGACTGAGCTTCTCACCCTATCTCTAAAGGAGAGCACAGCCACCCTGCAGAGAAAACTCATTTCGGCCGCATGTATTTGCAATCTCGTTCTTTTGGCCACGGCCCGAAGCTCGTGACCATAGGTGAAGACTGGAACGTAGATTGAACAATAAATCGAGAGCTTTGTCTTCAGGCTCAGCTCTCTCTTCACCACAACAGATCAGTTTAACGCCCGCATTACTGCAGACACAGCACCAATCCGCCTATCGATCTAATTTAGAGGAGCTGATTCTCATCCCAGCCACTTCACACTCTGCTGCGAAACGCTCCAGCGAAACATGAGATCACTGTCTGATGGGGGCGGACTGGCCTATCTGCCATTCTGGTATCTCGGTGGGCCGCTTACCCAAGTGGGCCAACCCCCCCACCCCACCCCCACCCCCCGCTCTCACATTTGGCAGAACAGAGCGAACTCCAAGCGCAACCCCCATTAATTACAGCAAGCAGTTCTGAAGCATCACAGCAGCTACAAACCACCACACTACCACCACCGTGTCAAAAGTGTTTCTGTTTTTTGTAAAAAACTGATTTAGTTTAATTTCAAAGGATGAACAACTTTTAATATATTCCACTTTTGTTACTTTATCTCTCGGAATATTTTCCCCAAAGTTTTTGGGATGATTTTGGTAAATATGAGTCATGTTTTTGGTCAAAGACGCCATTTTTGTTGAATCTGTTGCAGTTGACTTTTACCTTGAAACTTTAGTGATACCAGCAGTGATTTAAATAATGGTCTAAGTTCTTCTTTTCTCTATTTTATTTTTGAACAGATGTGTTGCTTTTAGAGCTCTTTTAGCCTGCTGCAAATCGTGAGACCAGATAATGTAATTTCTTTTTTCAGCAAATTTCTTATTCAAAATTTAACAAGCACAACTAATTTATCAATTAGGATGAGGTTTGTTTGGACAGCTTTTTTTTTCTTTTTAATTAATTAACTAAGCTTAAAGCTGGGTTTTAAGTTTTTGTATTGTTTTAACATCATATACAGTAAAGTGCAATCACAACCCAGGCACTTGGCTCACAATTCTCTGCTTTTGTGTTAGGAGGGTTTTTTTTTTTCCTTCACAAAGTGCTCACATAAACTATACAATTTTTTGAGCTTCTATTTGTTTAGTTGCAAATGTATTTTTTTTTATAAAGTTGCTGTAGAGTTGAACCAATTCATATGACACTTTGATTTCTGGGCTGTAACACACCTGATTTACAAACAGGAACTTCCCTTAGGGTTAAAACTGGCAGCTGGCAGGTTAATTATACCAAGAGAACTAAAGAAAAACAACCAAATTGTGTTTTCATCACCACTCTTCATGCTCTGTCATTAAATCTGTTGGTTCCAACTAAATAAAAGTGTTTTAATACACCTCGACTTTAAAGCTATTTGCTACTTCTACAAAATCCAAAATCAATTGTTTTCATATTTTGAAGCAAAAATGCACAGATGTTTGTATATTTACAGTTTCTTATCGCCCAAATATACAGAGAGATAGAAAATCTGGTTATTTGATTTAATTTCATATATGCCGGTGACTTATTCCAACCAAGTAAACAAAAAATCTTCACAAACGTTCATTCTGTATTTGTATGATGTTGCCAGAAAAATTTTCTTGTTAGACACGAGGTCTTTGTTAAGCGCAATTAGACAGAGATGAGAAGACAGCAAAAGTCTGGTAACTTCACCTTTTTTTGGCATCGCCTTCAATTTCTGACATGCAGCAACATTATTTAGGAAATTATGTCTCATTTTTATCACATATGAAGCAGAAATGTGAAAACAAGTTGTCTACACCTCATCAAAGAAGAGCTGAAAACGGTGACGTGCACACAAATGTAGAAAGGAGGACAGGAAAGTGTGTCTTACCCAGTATGGTTAGAATGCAGAGCAGAATAGCTATCAGGGCGTGGACGCTCACTCCCATCTTCCGAGAGCTGGCCTTGCACTGCGTAGGAATCCGCCTGGCGTCACACCGACACGACTGCAACAGGTTTCAGAAACACATGACACGTTTAGTTGATTTCTGCTTTGAAGATGATATTGTACTTAATTAAATATAAATCCACATCTATAATTAGATTTTATGACATCAAAAACACACAGACCTTGATTGACAGTTTAGTGACGCTGGTCTGGATTGGCTGTCCTCCATCGCTGATACGAACATCCACACTGTAATCATTAGGGTCTTCCAAGCTGAACGGACCTTGTCTCACTATTATATCTGCTGTGTTGTCTGCGCAAGAAGCACGTCAACACACAGAGTTAGTAAATATTACATTAAATCCTCACTGTCATGCACAGATTTCCCCTTTGTTTCTGCAGAATCTAGGTCTAATTTGGCTGATCATCCTGCTTCCCTTAAGCAGATTTAACGCACACCTGCTGAGGCCATCAAGTGCTCTGATCTTACACTGAACATGCTGAACAAGAGAGAAAAGGTCTGATACCAATGTCAGAAAAGTGTTTGGAAATAAAATGAGACGGATAGTAAATTGTTGACGTATGAATTAATTATTTAATAGTTTGTAACCTGCAGAGTCAGAAGGCAATCAGTTAAGTATAGTTGGAAGTCAAGAATGGTTTTGAGCAGAACAGAGAGTTGGTCTGAACAACAATACAGTATTTAGTCAGATTTGAGGGAGGCGAGAGTTTCCTGATGAGATGATGGGGAAAGCCATTCTTCATAGTGATCCACAGCTGGAGGAATTTCAGGGAACACAATGGCAGGAAAGAACCACATTCTCCCCACAAACAAACGGTGGCTCTGCTTTAAGGGTGAGTTTAAATAACAACAGCTCAACCCGTGCAGATTCAAGATTCACACTTTACAAATTTACGATTCAAAATGTTCAGCTTCACCTGTTTAAAATCCAGAAAATGATCCACAAATTACTAAAAACAACGCTAAGAAAAGGATTATACTAAAATTACAAACTTGCATTGAATTCCTCACTTTTTCAGAATTTATCAAAATGTGATCCAGAAACCTGGAAATGGTAATGCAAATTTCCTCAAAATTCACTCCAGCATTTTGCAAAGCATTTCAACCTATCCACCGCGTAAAAGGAGTAGGTACTGGTGCGGTGGATGATTGGCGACGTGTGCGGGTGTGTTTGAGTAATGCAGAAAGGAATGAGTGGGTGGGTTGTAGAGTTTTGACCTGTTAGAGGGGTTTTCCCAGATCGCCGTGGCTCTGAGTTGCTGTGATTTTGAAGTTAGGAATTAAGCAATAAAGCTAAAAACTGCCTCATGTAGGGTTAGGGTTAACTTACGTAGGTGAGCTACGTTAGGAAGTTTTGCATAAAAGGTTCCAAAAATGGGTCAAAAATATAAAACTGAACTTTTAAGAACAATTATTGCACTTTCCTGTGTTCTGGAGGCGTGGCCAGGTGGTGGTGGGTCGGGACTGGAGCGGGGGGGTTGGACCTTTGACTTTTGTCATTTTGAACACTCAAAAAGCCCATTATCCACCCCCGTCTAATCTATTAGAAGAAGACTATCTGTCTCTAGCTAAATCTTAGACTAGCAATCAGGTCTTAAATTTGTGTTTTAATCATTTAAAGAGACAGAGACTCATGGATTGATAGTGTTCTGATCATGCTTTTATGTGATGGTGAAGAATCGAGCAGTGGTACCTTGTACGTTCAGAAAACAGGCAACTAGACTTCTTTTGTTCTACGTTTTGCTTCTGATCCAAACTGTTGTGTCAAATCAAACTAAAAGATGCTCAGGAAAAAGCTGTCAGTGAGAGCCAGCTAGTAAGAGCCTGTCATATATCAGTGCCCCTCCTGAGGGCCATTAGGGAGGACCAAGGTTTGATTAATCATCTAGGTGCATCAAAGAAGTTCTGACAACAGGCTAAAAGCATAATAATCCATGTTTTGGTTAGAATTCAAAAAGCTGCTTGGATTTCCGAAAGGAATGCCAGTTGCACATTTATTCTGATAAATTTGATTTGCAAACAAATCCATTAAATTAGGAGATAAACAACTTTATTAGAGGTGAACAAGTGTCTTTTTTATATAGACCATGTTAATTATCCTCAAAGTCCTAAACAGTCTTTATGGTAAAAAAAAAAAAACATTCCAATCACATTAAAAGTATTTTGGGATCCAAAATTGTTCTGGAGATACGAGGCAGGCTGAAGGAACCTCTACATTGCTTAGAGGCAAAGCCCATCTTTCCACCACAGTCTTGACGCACGATGACGCCTTAACTAACTGAATAAAAGATGAAAACGATATCTGTCCACTCTTCATCTTATCCCTCTTCTCCGTCACCTCTTTCACTCTTAGCTTGATTTCGCCTCTTAATCGTGTCTCTCTAGATTTCCTGATGGGTCTCACCATCCTCTGGAGGTTTTTATTTAGCTCCCTCCATCTCATTACTCTTCTTTTTCTCGTTTCGGTCCCTTTCTCTCTGCCTGTCTGCGACAAATGCAGCGAGCGTCTTGTAGCTGCCAGCGTGAAACACTGAGTCGTGTTACTTCACGTGCCATTACTGCGACTCTCCTCATAACGATGCTTGTTTAGGGTTCTTCGTTTGTTTTCAACCGTCTTTAAAAGGTGGAAGTTGATGAATATTTTAAGAACCCTCACTTATAGGTCTTGTTGTGTTTGTGAGTCAGCCGCCGTCAGGTATGTTTTTATACTTTGCCGTGTGTGTGTGTCTGTGTGCGTGTCGGGGGTGGTGGGGTGGGGGTGGTGGTGGTGGGGTGGGGGTGGGGGGTGGTGGTGGTGGTGGTGGTGGTGGTGGTGGGGGGGGGGGGGGGGGGGTCCATAGTGAAAGAAGATAACAGAAATTCACACTGACAGCCAGCAGTTATCAAACAACTCTCCTGTTCTTTTCTGTCTCCATCTTTTCTTTGTTACACCTTTCATCTCCTTCCAGCTCTCTTTGAAACATCTGACATTTCTGATGTGATCCTTTCTTCACGCCATCATCTGCTCTCCCTGCTCTTTCCCTCACAGCCATTTCTCTCTTCGTCTTCGTTACCTTCCTCCCCCTGACCCTTCTCCTCTCGTTTGTTTTCCCTTGTTCTCCTATGTTTTTCTTTTTTTCCATTTCCCACTTGAACTCTGATTTTGTATTCTCCTCTGTGATCTTGCTCCTCTTCCTCCTTTCCCAACTCTTCCTCTCACCTCCTTCAATCTCCCTCTTTCCTCTCATCTGTTTTTCTTTTTGCTCTCCTCTCCATCAGTTCTACGTGTCAACCCCTTCAGGCGAATCAGAGTGAAAATGGATGAAGGGTGTTTATTCAGTTTTCTTCTCTATTTATCTTCATTTCTGTGGAGTTCAAATTTGACTTGAATTAAAAACCAACACCTAAACTCTTCATCTGATTTCCTCGGGCTTTCGTATGTGACTAAAACAGCTGCTAACATTTTTCCTAGAGGTAAAACATTAGATCCAAAAATCTAATTAAAGAAAACTAGGGAATCTTTTGTCCAAACAAAATGAAAAAAAAAATCATAAAGTACAAACTTTTGCTCTAAAAATTATCTAATGTCTAAACTTCATTATAATCATCTGTTTGGTTTGTCATTAGGCACTTCTGCACAGTTGTGCTTTCTCAAATAAAGATAAATCATTTATAATTTTGCATTAAATATGCAAATTTTGCACTAGATAGTATAAAGCCATGAATTTAACATGAATTAAAAAAATTCTTTACATTTTTAAAACATCACACTGGCTATTTCAATATGAAAGTCCAGTGACCAGACCTTCATTTAGTCTGCACTGAAATGTTGGTGAAGTTATGTTGAATTGAACTCCAATTTCACTTATATTTCTCCATCTTTTCAAAATTGAAGGTGAAGAAACTCGTTATGAAGAAAGATTGGTGCTTTTCTTTAAACACAGGCATGCAGGCTCTCCCTTTTGTGTCCTTGAGGAGTCCCACCTCCTCAAATTATTGGCTGTACTATGACAAGATAATAACAACAACATGCATGACCAAAAACTTGAATTCCAGTTTTTTTGCAGCTGCCTCTAAGTCAAAACTAAAGAAAACATGTGCAACAGGAAGCAAAACTACTTGGAGGCAAAAAGAGTCAATTACTTTAACGTCTTCTATCATTTTGCAGGAAATATTGAGACGTGAAAATGCCTCAGATGCTTGTTTTTAAATGCCAGGCTCAGCATTATCAGTAGAATGTAAAGTTTAATTTAGGTCACAAACAAGTTCATTCTTGTTTAATCTCCTAAAAATGATTTTGTCCTTTCAGATGCACTTATTTATTCAGTGTACTTGATATGCTGCCTGGCCAAAGAAAAGTCACCACCAACAAAACAGGTCACACACTTTAATATTTTGTTGGACCGCCTTTAGCTTTTATTACACACAATTGCTGTGGCATTGGTTTGATAAGCATCTGCAATGTCACCAGATTTATTTCCATCCAGTGTTGCATTATTGTGTCTCCAAGATCTTGTACTGATGATGGTAGAGTCCGACCGCTGCATAAAACCTTCTCCCAAAGATTCTCAATGGAGTTAAGGTCTGGACTCTGTGGTGGCCAATCCATGTGTGAAAATTAAGTCTCATACTCCCTGAACCACTCTCAATATTTCAGCCTGATGAATCCTGGCATTGTCATCTTGGATTATGCTCGTGCCATCACAGAAGATGTAATAACCTGATCATTCAGTATATTCAGGTAGTCAGCTGACCTCATTCTTGGAGCACATCCTGTTGCTGAACCTAGACCTGACCAACTGCAGCAACCCCAGATCATAACACTGCCCCCACAGGCTTGTAGAGTTGCCACTAGGCATGATGGGTGCATCACTTCATTTGCCTCTCTTCTTACCCTGATGCACCATCACTCTGCCCAGGATGTAGTTTTCTTGGACTGAGACGAAAAGAAGAGACTTCACAGCAAATGTTCTCACCTTTTGCAATATTAAGACCGTAAAGGGTCACATGGTGGACATTTTAAAAACAAAATGCTATCTACAGATTGTGAGGAATTAGTCTCTTTGCTGCTTCTTTCTGGTGCCTGTTGTCTTTGTCAAAAAAAAGATCAACATCCTTTCACAACGATGTATTTACTACATTCTTGGTCAATTAATTAAGAGAACAGCTATACAATTAGTTATTAATTTTGAATGAGATGGCTGAAGTTTGACAGTCACCACTGCTTTAGAGCTGAATGCATGAAATCAACAACTTCATACATTTTTCTAATTTGGGATTGTTCTCTCCGTTTAAGGTGCAGTTAATAATTTTCAAGTATTTTATTTTAAAAGCCTTAAAAACCGCACCTTCCTGACCCACATTACTTTGTGCATTTGCTTTTTTGTATTCAAGACAGCACTTACGGGCCCAGTCAGACGTGCTAAGTGGTTTGGAGAACTAAAGTAGGAAAGTTAAAATAACGTCAAATTTCAGCATCATGAAAGCCTCAAATAGTTTAACCTGTTGCATAGCAACAAGAGCCGAGGCCAGTGCAAGCTGCTTTCTGTGTTTGGAACAACACGCTGGAAATTAGGAAGGAACAGAAAAGGGACTCACTGCCGTGGTCTCTGATGGAGAAGTTGGAGTTGTGACTGGCAAAGCTGAAGGAGAAGGTGGACATTTGTTCATCTTTATCTGAAGCTCGCAAGGTCCCAATTACCTGAGGTAATGCAAAGCAGGTAGTTCATGTGCTTTAATTACGATCTCCTGAAGGGTTAAAATGCTTATTGTATCAAATAAAGATGAAAAATTTATTAAAATAATTTTTAAATCTGTGATTTTCTTACCATATTTCTCATGTCGTTCTCACACACGAAGATCTCATCCACAACCAGTTCGGGCGTGTTGTCATTGACGTCTTGAACGTTAATTTTAACTTTTACAAGTGACTCCAAACCTAAAAAAGCAAGAAAACATCAAATGATTTGATGAAAACTTGTTTAGATGTGTTTTTTGTCATGTGGAAGCAGAAACTAGTCCAAGATCTGCTAAACGTTTTTGCTCTCAAAAGAGACACCTGACTTTCGTTCATTCAATCTTTATTATTTTTCTCAGCTTTTTCAAGTTGTCATCATTTAATAAAAGTATTTAAATGTCCTGCGGAGAAAAGACGCACTACAGGGAAATGGAATATTTAACACAAGCAACTGAAAAATTGATTGTCGTTTATACAGCTTCTACATTTTTAACAAACTTTCCAAATCTGCCCTAAATTTTTTTGGGTCGTATTTTTTACATTTGTCTTTCAGCCGACATGTTTACAGCGATGATTCAGTGTGTAAATTAAACTCATTAAGGTCAATAAACTTGAAGGATCCCTAGTCACGAGTCTGTTTGATGGATGTTTTTTGTCGTGCTAAATCGTCTTTTTTCATGTTTTTCTTTGAATCTCTAGCACTCCCTTTGAATATTCCTCTTTTGATAAATCCAGGAGCCTCTCCACTGTCACTTGCACTGAAAATTTGAAATTATCTTTAGTACGACATAAGTAGTGTATACCCAGGACCTTGTCGTGCTCAGGAGACCATTGTGTTCTTTAAACGTCGGGAGTCGTGACAAGCTACTAAAATAGATCTTTGGATTTCATTTACAGCTCGTCTAAAAATATAGGGATCGTCTTGGAAGCTGCCAGTGAAGAAAAGGACCCTAATGTGATTTTATTTTTTTCTGCTCAAGGTCTATTTCCAGTGTGGGTCGACCAGGTGTTTTTTTATTTTATTTTTATTTTTTGCAGCGTGTTAAATCCTTTTTAAAAAATCTCTGTTGCTGCGTTTTGCTCCCATCATTCAAAACCATAAAAAACAAAACATGAGAACACACAGTCCTCTTTGGACTTTCCTTGTGTGACACCCATCTGAGTGTGCACATTCCCATTGTTGGAGCAAACATGTGGTTTCCATCTTTTGTGTTTGGGATCTATTGTTTTAAGAAGACAGGATTAATAAAGCTGTGCAGGCTTGATGTTGAGTGCACGACATACCATCCGGATGCTCCTGCGCTCTAACTTGAAACTCGTGTGTCGGCTGCAGCTCTCTGTCCAACTTCCTCAGGGTGGACAGTTGACCTGTGAACGGATCGATGTCGATGGGACAGTCCTTGTCTAAGATGGAATACCTAAAATGTGAGAGCAAAAGGATCAGACAAACAACCTTACTGCACTGATGTTCAGGAGTAGATGTGCAGACTCGTACTTTATGCTCCTGCTGGCCTGGTCAGGATCTCTGGCTTGAATCTTTCCTATGTTTCGTAGCATCTGTTCCTCTAAAGCACTAAAGATGTAGGTAGACTGGGAGAAAACCGGTGGCTCGTCTACATCCACCACTATGAGAGTAACCTGTGAATATCAAAGTGTTTGTAGAAGTTAAAAGTGTTGCTTACAACTCTTCAAAGACCAAGTTCACTCCTTTTTTCAATGCATTTGTTGTGATTTCTGGTACAAATTTCTCTGTGAGCTTGGCTTTTAAGCTTTCTTTATGCTTATTGTGTTAATTATCACTGAAATACACACTCACTGGCCACTTTATTGGGTACACCTGTCCAACTGCTCGTTAAAGCAAATGACCAATCAGCCATTTACATGGTGGCAACTCAATGCATTTAGGCATGTTCACGAAAGTAGTTTGGGGATGGGGGGACGGGGGGGACATGCCCCCCCCCACCCCCACCCAAAGTAAATTTTTGTCCCCTGCTCTTTTTCCGTCCAAAACCAATATTACATTATATTAAATAGACATTGGTTGAGCACTAGGAACAAGTGGAAAACAACCACTTGTGTCAAAGCCTGTTTTTCATGACATATTTTTAATTTACTTGCTGTAAAGACCCAATCATCTCAAACTGGTTTCTTGAACATGACGATGAGTTCAGTGTACTCACATGGCCTCCACATTCACCAGATTTTAGTCCAACAGAGCACCTTTGGGATGTGGTGGAACGGGAGACGCGCATCATGGATGCAGCCGACAAATCTGCAGCAACTGCATGATGCTATCATGTCAATATGGACCAAAATCTCTGAGGAATTTTCCCAGTACCTTGTTGAATCTGTGCCACGAAGGATTAAGGAAGTTCTGAAGCAAATGGTGGTCCAACCTGGTACTAGCAAGGTGTACCCAATAAAGTGGCCAGTGAGTGTAAGCCGTCAATCAAAAAAATACACACAAGGGTCTTAACAGAAGAACTTAAACACAGCTGTCTTTAATCATCCACTCTCACGGAGAGTGAGAATTCTCTCGTGCTATGCCCAAATTATGGAGCACTTTGCACCCCCCCCCCCCCCCCCCCCCCCCAGGTTGGCTCAGTGAGTGACTGAGTTAAAATCTCATGAGTTAAATCTCATTTAAGAACCCTCTGTTTTAGCCAGGCCTTTGGCCCCTGAATTCACTACCCCTCCCTTCCTATCATCACCCATGTCTTCAGAACATTATTCTATAGCTTTTACTCCTGTTGTTTTCAGTCCTATGGCTAGACTTACATGCAGGATATTTAATCACTCATTTATTGTGTATGGCATTATTGTCTGTATGGTCCAGAAGCCTTGTTTTGCCCCCTTTTTATGCCTAATTAGCCCTGTTTGTTCAGCACTTAAGTCAGCTGTAATGCCGTGTTTTAAACATGCTTTATATATGATGAATGGATGAATGGATGGATGGATGGATGGATGGATATTTTTGCTCATGCATGTGTTGATTCTCCCCAGTCCATCTTGTTTTCTGAGTCTGATCAGCTGTTGATGAGGAGCAGGATGATATCATTGTCGGATGATTACCTCAGCTCGTGTAACAGCAGTTTTTGAGTTGTCAGCTGGAAAACGCACATCATCATTCACCTCAACGATAAAAACGTAGTTGCTCCTTGTTTCGTAGTCCAGAGGCTGCAAACACCAGAAAGAGTAGAAGGAATTACATCATTTCCAAAAGTCTTTTGACCTCTTGCCCATGGACGTAATTTTGGGGGGGACAGGGGGGACATGTCCCCCCCACTTCTTCCAAAGTCAAGGTTTGACCCCTGCACTTTTTACCATCCAAAAACAATATTACGCTATATTAAATTGACACTGGTTAAGCTCTAGGACCAAGCAGAAAACAACCGTTTGTTTTGAAGCCTGTTTCACATTAGAACATACTGTAAAGACTTCTAAAGTGATAATTACGTCCATGCTCTTGCCACTGTGCACAAGTTAAGGTGTTCCAAAGTTGGACTAATCCTCCAGAGAGTTTGGAAAAACATATATTTTTTAACACTGTGAACATGTTGCATTTGCACCTTTTTTTTTGGGTGCACTAATGCAGCTCTTATGTTTGCCCTCAGTGAATTTGTACCTCCATCTACTCACCAAGGATTGCTGATAATTTCAGGTGTAAAAAGGCTGTAAATGTAACACAACTCAGCAGGAGCAACCCGAACACACTCATGCATTGGTGTTACATGATCTCAGGGCTCTTAGCCAAACTGCTGCTAAAGTTTTTTGGTATACACAACTTTTCATGCAAACAAACAGGAAAAAGGTGCATTTTCTGAAGATTTTTCAAACATCAACACGTGTTTTACTAGTATATAAGTTATGACTATTTTACCTGTTCCTGAATGGACTCATAGCCGATATTTAGGTCTGCTGGAGAATCAAACCTCTAAAATCTAGCAGCATCTTATGCTCTGTGTTTTTTTTTAAACATCATCACTTTCATATTGCCCATTTACTTGAAGATGTAGCACTTCTAATGGATCCAGCAATTTCTGCAAGTTTAATTAAAATAACAGTGGTATGCAAAACTGAAAGCAATATAAATGTTTATAAAATCCTGTATGCACAAACTGCTGAGTTATTTTTGAGATTATAGATATTTTAAACTGGGGTAAAGTTTGGTTATTGCTTTTCTTGGGCTAGCTGTTATTTAATGATGGATGTAAAGGATGCATCTAGCAAGGACGCTAATTTCCCAGTCAACAATAACTTTTTACATAAACACAAAACATAAATCTCTTTTAGCAGACAGAATACTATTAAACATGGTCAACAGATTTCAGTTCCTTGGTTAACAAGCAAATTTTTGAAAAACATGCAGTTTTGTTCACATAGCATGGTGTGTTTTGCAAAAAAATTAACGCAAAACATTCAAATAAAACTTCAGTCTTGATTCAGACATTAAGGTTTGTTTTTAACTGACATTATATAAAATCAGAATACTAGGATTTAATTTCATTTCTTCTTGTTTGGTTATTTAGCTTATTTAGGCCAAAGTAAATGCTGCATGGTTAGTCATCGTAAGACAATAAAAACGTCTTTTATCAAATCAGGAACTTTAAATCTTGATTTACTGAACAACGCAGCTTGATTTATAGCCGAACCGCTGACTCTACATGTCAATTTTCTTTCCTAAGTGACAAGTTTAATCCTCTTAATAAATGCAAAATATGGTCAGGCATTAAAAAACCCTCCAACTGAAGTCACATTAAATTAAAGCTGAGTGTTGGTTAAGAAATTGACCATTTTGAACAATTTAGGGTAAAACATGATATTTGTGTGTGTGTGTGTGTGTGTGTGATTGTTTTAGCTTCTCTTGATTTTTTATTTTATTTTTTTAAATCTGGCATTCCAAAATAAAGAGCTGGAATGAACTTTTCACAAACAATTTTTGTTTCAGTTCCGTTTTTATGAGATAATTTTTCTGTTAGGTGTTGTATAAAATAATCTTTACCGTTTTTCTTTAGGGACACCAGGTAGACAGGAATATTCTGTTAACCGGATTATTCGTGGTAGACGGGATACTCATTCGCTGGGTATCAAAGGCATTTGTAAACAGCTTAACATGAATGAAACCCTAACCGCCGTGTGGACCAAAGCTGGCTTAGTCTGTAAACACAACCAGGGAGGGAGCTGAGAGGAGCAGAGCTGAAGGGCGAAGAGAGAAGATTGAGCTGCGACTCGGTTTCGGACCAGCATGGGGGGTGCAGGTTATTTCCAAGCTCCTTTCACCGGAGCACACATCCAACTCTCTGAAGTTCTAAATACTTTATCTCAGGAATGAAATCCAGTGAAGTAAGCCTGCTAAAATTCCTACAAGCAGGAATATCTTTTCCAACCAGGAGGCGTTCCAACACCATGATTTATATTACTGTCATCCAGCAAAAACATCTCACACTTAATGCTACAGGTAATGTTATTCCCAACAACATGGTGGCTCAATGTGCAAGGAAGCATGATTATAAGAAAACACCATGAAAATATCAGTACATTCAAATATTAGAATTATGGAAATCCTGTCAGAGCATGGTTGCTATGCTCCACTCTCGGATGTTTGTAATGTTCGTGCATATTCCAGAATACCATTTGTGCAGGAAGCCTCCCATCATTTGGGGGCTTGAACATTTAGAAGATGTTGCACACCCTCAACCACTTTGATTTATTTTTGTAGCAAGCATGAAAGAGTGCATCCATGTGGTATTTTTCTTTCTACTTCAGTGATTCCCATCCAAGAGCGTGCATGCTGTTGCCAGCGAAACTTGAGGAGACTGTGCCATTAATATTATTAGGAATACGATGATTAGAAGATGTATGTTTCAGAGGAACTGAGACCACAGACAGCCGCTCTCGGGATGTCAGAGTAATTTTACAGCACATTTCGAACACACACATTGATTTAATTGCATGCATGTAAGCATTTTTGGGACATTCCTACCTTTTTAAGCAAGAGATTGCCATCCTTGTCATCGTTAAGTTGAATGCTGAATGCATCCTTGTATCCACTTTGAATAGTGAATGTCGGTTTCTTGTTCTTAATCTCGTCTTCATCCTTCAACTCCAGAGTCCCAATCTTTTCATTCAGTTTATGATTCTCTGGAACTTCTATGGAATACATTTCTATGGACCGAAAACACACATTGCATGTTCCATTAAAGGCGGCATACATTCGCTATTTCAATTCAATTCAGTTCAAGTTATTCATTTCTCTTTCACTCATGCTTCAGGAGGAGTGGGGAGTGCCATCAAAAGGAGCCAGTTAAGGTGGCTCAGGCATCTGATTAGGATGCCTCTTGGATGCCTCCCTATTGATGTTTTCTGGGCACGTCCAACCAGGAGGAAACCTAAAGGAAGACCCAGGACATGCTGGAGAGACTATGTCTCTTGGCTGGCCAGGGAATGCCTTGAGATTCCCCCGAAAGAGCTGGCCCAAGTGGCTGGGGAGAAGAAAGTCTGGGCCTCTCAATTTAGCCTGCTGGCCCGGTGACCTGATTCCGAATAAGCAGAAGAAAATGGGTGGATGGAGTGGAGAGTGGTAAGCACAGGAAATGGATTCTTACTCAACAATGGTAAACAGTTATTGGCCTGTATGTTATATAGCACCTTTTAGAGCTCTCAGGGCGCTTTACAGCACATTAAGTCATTCACCCATGCACACACACATTGTGATGAGCTACAATAAAGCCACAGCTGCCCTGGACAATGTGAGTTGGCAGATCTGTCCTCTGCCACCATTAATATTCTTGATATGTAAACATCTCGCCTCTAATTGGCTAAAAGCAACGCAACTCTTCTGCTGCCTCCTTCCATCCATCCAACCATCCATCCATCAATCCATTCATTCTCTTCCTCTCATCCAGAGCTGGGTCACGGGGGCAACAGCCTAAGTCGAGAGGTGCAGACTTCCTTCTCCCCAGCCACTTGGGCCAGCTCTTCTGGGAGAATCCCAAAGAGTTCCCTGGCCAGGCGAGAGGCATAGTACCTCCAGCGTGTCCTGAGTTTCCCAGTTAGACGTGCCCAAAAAACCTCAACAGGGAGGCATCCAGGAGGCATCCTTACCAGATGCCCAAGCTACATCAACTGGATCCTCTCGATGTGGAGAAGCAGCAGCTGTATTCCGAGCCCCTCCCAGATGACCGAGCTTCTCACCCCATCTCTAAGGGAGAGCCCTGCCACCTTGTAGTGAAAACTCATTTCGGCCGCTTGTATCTGCAATCTCATTCTTTCGGTCACTACCCAAAGGTCATGGCTATAGGTGAGGGTAGGAACGTAGTTCGACCGGTAAATTGAGAGCCATGCCTTCTGGTTCAGCTCTCTCTTCACCACGACAGACCGGTACAACGCCCACATCACTGCAGACACAGCACCAATACGCCTGTCGATCTCGTGCTCCAGTTTTCCCTCACTTGTGAACAAGTCCCCAAGATACTTAAACTCCTCAATTTAGGGCAGGACCTCATCCCTGACCCGGAGAAGGCATTCTATCCTTTTCCGACTCAAGACCATGGTCTCGAATTTTAAGGAGCTAATTCTCATCCCAGCTGCTTCACACTCGGTTGTGAACCGCTCCAGTGAAAGCCGGACATCACTGCTGCCTCCTTCATTTGCTTTTATTTCTTGGGTATAAAACACAACGTTTATGTTTTATCTCCAAATTGGTATCTGAACAAAGAGTTAGAGCTCCTGGAGCAGAAAATTAGATCATTCTTCTTGTCATTGTAATGGCTCAGTTTCTTACTTTTTGTAAATGAAGCTAAATTATCGTTAATGTCATCGATGACGATGGTGACAGAGGTAGTGGCGGTGCTGCCGGAGGCCATTCCTCTCATGTCCTGAGCTTTGACCACCAACACATACTGGCGCTGGGATTCCCGGTCCAAAGTGTTTATCTTGCAGCTGATCACACCTGCCGAGCACAGAGAAGGTGTTATTCCAGCAGTCAGCTTAAATTTATGTTCAAGTGAAGAAATTAAATCTGCAGCTTCACTAAATTAATTTAACTGGATAATGGGGGGTGGGGTGTGTGGCTGCAGTATAGAAATTATGGCGGACATTAATAAAAGCAGCCTACCTGTGATGGGGTCGATTTCAAAGGATGAAGTATCTCCAGGTGATGTCAAAGAGTACCTCAGCTCTCCATTAGGAGTAGTTGGGTCATCTGCATCAGTTGCGCTCACTTTTACCACTGTCGTTCCTGGATGATTAAAATCATAACAAATACACGAAAGTACAAATACTTTAAAGTTAATTTAAATATGTTTTTTTTTTGCATTAGCCCCAAGGTTAGAATGATTTAACACATATTGATGAGGTGCTAAAACTGTACTATTGAGTCACTAATGTTCTTTGTTTCACAGAGGGATGCACTGATGATTGTGGCAGGTGTGAGCAGAGTGTTTCAGCTTACTGGTAATTTTTGCCCTTCAGTTATTTTAACCCAGTTAACTCTTTCGTGACTCTAAATCATGAAGAAAACAAAAGAAAAACAGAGAATCGAGCCTAACTATACCAGAGTTGTGAAATGTTGGTGACTTGTTAGAGACAAAAAACTGCACAAAAATATAATTCTCAGTTGTAATTGCACTGGACCGAAGCAAGTGACACTTTGGAATGACAATTTACTGACAATTATCTCAATGACGTATCAGTTTGTTTGCAATTTACCCTCCTTTCATTTGCAGTTTGGTCCACTTTTTAAACTCACAACTCACTCATACAAATATTTTAACATGCTCAGACACTAAAACAAGGCCCTGTAACTGGTAAGGAAACAACTGAGATCATTTCAAGATAATTTGAGAGCATTAAGGACCCACTTGTTAATTTAGCATTTTGTTTGAAATCATCTTCTTTACTGCTGCAATAGCACATTTGGAAAACAACTTGGCTTAAAACGTTTTAATCATGCCTCTTAACGTTCTAACAAAGTATGGCTATATATATATTGCGGAGATTAAAAAAAACAATAATATTGAAGTGGTCCTCTCACATTTGCCTAAAAACCTCAAACAACAACGCAACTCCGAACGAAAGCAACCATTGGACCATTGGGTTGTTGGTCTAGCTGACCTGTCATACTTCCACACTTCCCTGGGTCCTCCATTCATAACGCACGTGCATATTTTGCAACAAAACACCACTGGTGTGAGAGGTTTGTGGCTGGATAATATCAGAGAAGGAGAAACAGCCGACTGCTACCACTTCAACTTTTGGACAAACTACCAGAATCCCAAAAAGAAAAACACCATTTAAAGTCACGGACAACAAATAACATTTGGAACTAGAAAACGGGAACTGGTGTTAAGTGCTCTGTCATTTTCTCACGTAATGCGGGTTTCCGATTCTGGTGGACGCAAAACCAGTGAAGATACCCAAGGAGAGGGATGAGTGTTCAATGACCATATAAGCATTCAAAACCTAGCTTGTTTGTAGATTTGCTATAGCAGCTTTAACTTTGAGCTCACTAACCCATGCTTTCCACTGGATGCATTCGCAGTGCGTAATGTTATAGATTTGTTTTCTCCATGAGCTACGATGTGTGTCCCTTTCCACCTGAAGCACTTCAGGCAGAAATTGGCAGCAAATGCAATCCTGCGTGGTCACGGAATCACCCGAGATTTGAAAAATTGCATGTGATTATTGGTAATTCACGCAATTACAAGCAAGGAGAAAGACAGTACAATATATCCAAAAGGCTCTCGGTTATTTTTCTGTTATTTTTACTTCAACCACGGAGGTTTCACAAGTAAAGACGTATGCTTATTTACTACTTAAGCAGATAGAAATCTGCCCGTGTCTTTTATTTTGAAAGTTGCTGGATGCTTTACTCTGCTCCCATGTTTAACTTTTAGTCTGGCCTGATCTGAACTGCTGAGCTTTTCACTTTCTGGAAGCGTAGCACATGAAAAAATAGACATCCAGTGTAAATTTGAGGGGAGCGATGCTACACAACACTTCTGAGATGCATCCAAGATGTGCCGCTTTGTGCCAGTTGAAAACAAATCCATTAAGGTTGGTTATGAGCTGTGTAATTACCCTTCATGGACGTTACAGGACGCATATGCATTGGTGGAAAGCCAGGGTAAGATGTGATCCAAATGTCAGCTGATTAATTTTTAGGGCAGTTCCTTGGATAGTGGTCCTACTCACCTTTCATGGACCTTTCCAGTATAGATCCATTGTATGTTCTTGGGAAAATAGGGCTGTTATCGTTGATGTCGGTCACCTGGACTACAAATTCCCCGGCGTCTTCTATCAACTTGTTGTTCCCATCAAGCATCCTCGCTGTTAAGTTATACGAGGCCTTCTCCTCTCTGTCCAGAGATTTTCTGACAAACAGGTCTCCCTTTTCATCCACAGTAAAGATGGTGTTGGCTCCTTCACCCTCTATTCGAAACTTCTTCACCTCCACTGCCTTGCTTGACTTAAGCTGCAGAAGAAAAAATGAAATAGGATTGTTTGAGAGTCTTCAACAATCACTTTCTCCCAGCTGGAGAGAGGAATCAAATCAACAACCTCCAAGCTAATTTCTACAAATAAACTCCGTTCTCTGGCAAAATTGTTCAGATATTCAAAGACCTGGAAGACAACAAAGCAATGACCTAGATTCTTGTTGCATAAAAATAACATTTAGCCTTTTTAAACAGGTGTTGGAAGAAGACTTTACATTTGAAAGGATAATTTAAGCTCAAGATGCATCATTTCAGACTGGACAAAAGGTTGGACATACTTTTCCTATCTTGTAAGGAATCGGTGCTGGTTTTTCTTCTTCCACATAGAGTGAGTTCCAGATCCATTCTCTCTTCTGTCTGAGTAGCACCGGGTGGGATTCTTTTCTTACAATGTCAGCAGAGTCATGCCTCTCTGGGACCACAGCTGGAAGGCCAGAGCCTTGAGCAATAACGACGAAAAGGAACAAAGTGGTTATGAGTCCTGCCATCCATAGCTGGAACCGCGCCATCATCTAGGACAGAACAGGACGGGAACAAGTGGAGGGAGGAACGACATGAGTGCAAGAGGTGAGAAAACAGATGAGGAAAAAGGGGTGAGGCAGTATTGAGGAGAGAGGAAAATGGAGGAGAAAAGAAGAGTGGAGATCACATTAAAACCACTTATCAGCTGTGGACAGACCCCTTCACTGGGCCTGGCTGAGAATTAGAGCGAAGGCCAAGGACTCTGTGTCCCCTTACAGTCTGCTACTAAGCTCGAGGTCTAGCTATCATTTAGGTCCAGGGCTCTTAAATCTCTGCAGCTCGGGACCCAAATGAAACATTTAGCCCCTCATCATGGGACCTGTACTAAAAGCAAATCCCCACAGCGGCCACATGGGGTTCTATTAAACATAGGCCTGTGACCCATTTTGGGTCTTGACCCATTGAAAAGAGACTGATGGAGAGAGAGGAGATGACATTAAAACCACTCTGGGTGTGTGTCTTAATCAGTATTTAAAAAGGCTTCCAAAACAAGACTTTTTGACATTTAAAATTTTGTGGCTGCAGTTTTATTTTATTTTATTTTGCTGTTAATTCAGTAAAACCCTTGGTTACAACAAAAAGAGGGCTTTGTGGCAGGATCTGGTAACATTAAATAGTGTTTTCCAACATCTTTCTTGGCTTTTTTCACCAGGGTTTGACAGAAAACTAATTTGTTGCTTTGAAATATGATTGACTGCTAGCAGCACATAGGAAGCAACAGATTCCAGCATCACAAAAAGAGATTTACAACTGACAATGATGTAAATCTCAAGTACATAAACCAAGATGGTTGTGCAGACTCTCCTCACCATCATACAACCAAAGCTCACATCAAGGGGGATCCTGCAAGTACTATCTTACCTTACCTTCAGGTTAGGGCTGGACGATATAGTAAAAAAAGCATATAAGTAAAAAGAAATGATCTTATTGATCGGTATTAATAAGTACTTAAAAAATTTTCAAAGTGTATTTTAAATGCAACCCTGGCTATTTTATGTCATTAATTTGTGATAAAACATGTTGGTTGTTTTACCAAACTTGATTTTTAATGAATTATTTGCAAATTTTTCAATTGACCCTGGTTTCTTTTTTGTCAGATCAAAATATCGCCATGCTGGAGAACTATTGTAGCCTCTGTACTGGACAAATCCCTCCACCGCTCCTTGCTGCAATATCTTGCTGTCTGTTTTGGTTTGAGAGGGTAGAGCTTAGTGATGACTGGGTCTGTGTTTTTGATTGGCTGGGAGCAGAGGTGTGACCAAATCACTGGTTTGCAAGTCACAAGTAAGTCACAAGTCTTTCCAGTCAAGTCTCGAGTCAAATCCAAGTCAAAGACAACCAAGTCCAAGTCGAGTCCAAAGTCAATGATGTGGAAGTCCAAGTTAAGTCCAAGTCTTTAACTTTGAATTTTCAAGTCATAATCAAGTCATCTGTCCAACTTCAATTTAATGACAATGATAAATAAATTCCAGAAATAAAGCTTCTTAAAGCATCATTTATTTCAATCAAATCAAAGATACTTTATTAATCCCAGAGGGAATTACAAGTCATAAGTCTTTATAGATTTTATCAAGTTAAGTCAGAAGTCATTAAAACAATGACTTGAGTCTGACTCGAGTCCAAGTCATGTGACTCGAGTCCACACCTCTGGTAGGGAGTTAATATTGAGTTTAGAATTAAGCTACCCGATAGGCCCAATCACTCAATCACTCAATCAAGGCTTTACTTATATAGTGCCTTCCTCACCCATTACGGGAGGCCAAGGCACTGAAGAACAAAATACAATCATGATAAAAGAAATTAAAACATTGAACATGAAACAACAGAATTTAAAAGCAAAAAAATCTAAACTACATAAAAGTAAGCTAACTTCAAGCATGTTCAGGAAATGCTAAATGAAAAAAAAAGGGCTTTCAGGTGACTCTTAAAGAAGTAGACTGCCTAACTGAGTGTAGAAGCTGGTTCCAGAGCGACGGCGCTAGAAAAGAAAAAGCCCGGTCTCCACGAGTTCGACACCTAGTATGAGGGGCAACTAGCAGGCCCTGAACAGAGGAGCGCAGAGAGCATAATGGGACATATCGCTTCAGGAGCGCCGCTAAGTAAAGAGGCGCGCCTCCATCAAAGAAATTAAAAACAAACACCAGAAGTTTAAAACGCGCTATAATAGAAAAAAGAAAGAAAACATTTTATTGAGATCTTTTGTATGATCATTCTCTGTTTTTCTTCTGAATTCATTTTTATGTTCTTTTTTTTTTTTTTACACAAAAAAGTTTTTTTTACCTTGCTAACAGTTTGGATCACTCCTGCAATCTTCTTCAGAGCTAGCCGCTATTAGCGGCGCCACTTTCTTTTCCGTTTATCCGCGGGCGACAGAGGACGGTATCGCCCTCTGTTGCCCGTGCTCTCCTCACCAATGACTGTTCCATGCATGATCTAATGTGTAGACCCCATTGTCTGTTGCCCATGGATTAAAGGAGAATGAAGTGACGCCGCTGTTAGCGGCTAGCTCTGAAGAAGTTCGCAGGAGTGATCGAAACTGTTAGCAAGTTAAATAAAAACTTTCATGTGTTAAATAAAGAGCATAAAAATGCATTTTATTGAGGGTTTTATTGACCCAGTTTTAACTATTGCGTCGTACATCTATTGATCGATATATATCGTTATTGAATTATTGACCAGCCGCACTAAAGATGCAGCATTTATTCATGCATTCTTCTTTTATAGGCCTCAAAAGTGCAGTATTCATGCTGTCCCCGTTTGTCTATCTTCTTGTTGGTTTTAACTCTAGTTAAAAGTTTTAACCAAGATGGTAAAATTAAAAAATAACTACATCTGACCACATTGTTCACCAAATCATGACAAGTGTCTAACTGTTTGGTTTATTATGTAGCCTTTCTAAGGAGATAGGATCAAGACTTGCACAATCTTGGATTGCTAAAGGCACATTTAGCATTTTAAATGTTGTCCAAACGTTTGTTAGTTGTCATGTAACTTTCCACCTGAGGTGATGTCATACTTTAGTGAAGACCCATGATTTACATTTAAACCAATAAAATCCATCCAATAGCAGCAGAAAGATGCAGTACTAAACCCTCCTGTAAAAAACAATATGAAGGCCATAGATAAACAATATTTAGATTCATCCCAACACAAACGGCATGCTGGTATTAATGCTAGTTTTAATCTTGTCCCAAAAAATAATAATTTGGTATATTGAAATTATCACCAAGCTGACTTTTTGTTTGTTTTCTGGTTTTGGAAGACACATTTCTGTGCATTGCATCACTTCTTCCTCCTGCCTACAAGTCATACAGCACATATTTAACCTAATTCAAACACCAACAGTCAGCGAAGTAGCTTTTAGCCCCTAGTTTCTCTTACTGTTTCGCTCCTTTTTGTTTGCGTCAGTCTCCCTCATCATTCTGGTGTCCCCCTCTGGGTTCTTTCTAATAAAGCAGAAAATGCAGAGGAAATAATCTTCAAAACACTTTAGCCTATCTGCTCTGTACTCCAGCAGAAATCTCAGCGCAGCTCTGTGCCATCCCAGTGGACAGATTAGTGCATCTTATTGTCTTGCAGCTATTAGCAGCAGGGAGGGAGAAAGGGAGATTATGACGGGGGGATTATACTGGCACAGTTCTCTCTAATGGCCTAATCTCATATTCTGCTGACCTTTTCTGACCTCTTCACACAGCTCCCCAGGAATACATACACACAGGGTTTGGCTCTTGTTTGACATCCTTTTGTGGCTTTTCTTTGTTGGATTTCCTTTCAGGACCCTTTAATTGAATAAATTTTGTTGTTATTTATGTTGGACTTCGAAATTAAAGTGTTCCTGCTGTTTATCTATTCTCATAGGAATCGATCACAACAATATTCTCATTTATCAAGTTATTCTGCGTTTTATTGACTGTATTATTTTTCGTATCTGCATTTACTTCCATCTAGCTCTGATTTCATTATAACTTGGTGACTTTTTCATTATTGTGATTTAAGATTTAAGATTATGTTGTGCAAACCGCAAGAGTCAAAATGAGGGTACTAATTTAGACATTATAAAAAAGCTTAGGTTTACCTTGCACCTTTGATAGAAGCACACGCATTTTGTGCCTTTGGATGCTTTCAGCCCCTTAGGGTATGTACTGTTAAACAAAAGTTAGTTTAGTTTATTTTTCAGAAACAATTTAAAATCATTTAGGGGCATTCATCTCATTAAAAATAATCTAACAAACACTAACTGAAAAAGGGTTTGGTTGAAGGCCAGACATTTTGTTTCATTCAAGTCCATTTTACTTTATTTTTATTTCAGTGTTGTCCAACGGAACCTAATGCCATTTCATTTTCAGTAAGTAATAATGTCTCGTCTCGTCTCTCGTCTCGTCTTCCTCCGCTTATCCGGGTCCGGGTCGCGGGGGCAGCATCCCAACTAGGGAGCTCCAGGCCGACCTCTCCCCGGCCTTGTCCACCAGCTCCTCCGGCAGGACCCCAAGGCGTTCCCGGACCAGATTGGAGATGTAACCTCTCCAACATGTCCTGGGTCGACCCGGGGGCCTTCTGCCGGCAGGACATGCCCGAAACACCTCCCCGGGGAGGCGTCCAGGAGGCATCCTGACCAGATGCCCAAACCACCGCAGGAGGAACATGAAGGGTCCGGTGCAATGTGAATCGGGTGGCAGACCAAGGCGGGAGCCTTGGCGGTCCAATCCCCGGACAAGAAAACTAGTAATAATGTAGTCGGTATAAAACTTTTTTTAACTTGACCAGTTCTTATATAACTATTGTCAGAAATTCTCTAACATCCAGACCAGACAAAAACACATTTTAGTCATCCACAAATAATTATTTTCCATTAAGTGGTAAACTCATTAAATAGCTTGGAACCAATACTGATCCTTGCAGAACACCCCTGGTTTTTAATTATTAATCTTTACATAATGAAAACTATTACTTATCCAGTTCTGTGCAACACCTCTTATACCACAAGCACTCA